GCCCCCCCCCCCCCCCAACCTTTAAAAGCTTGGATACCTAGCTTTACAGAGCTATGGGTACGAGCGTGTTTCGTTTGGAAGGGTCGCCTTTCACACCTAAAGAGAGATCACACAACACATAATACTGGTCATAACAATAATACACATAGAACATGAAAGCACATTAAGGAACTCCCAAACCAGAGCTCAGATGAGTCTGTCAGACGAGTCTGAGTCCGTCCAACCCACTACCCAGAGTCCTTTTGTGACAGGGCATCCACTATCACATTCGGTCTTCACTTGATGTGTTGGACAGTGAAGTTGAACTCCTGAAGCTTCCAGGCCCATTCTTGAACCTTGGCATTGGTGTTTTGCATTGTCTGCAACCACTGCAGTGGGGCATGGTCCAATAGGATGGTGAACTGCTGCCCCCACAAATAGGGCCTCAGCTTGTATAGCGCCCAGACGATTGCCAAACACTCCTCCTCAATAGATGACAGGTTCTGCTCCCGAGGGATTAACTTCCGGCTTAAGTACACCACGGAGGGCCGTATCTCTTGGTGCTCTTGTAAGAGTACAGCTCCTAGTCCTGAGTCGGAGGCATCAGTGGCTACGTAGAAGGGTTTATCATGGAGCGGTGCCTTCAGGATCGATCATTTGATCAGGGCAGCCTTTAGGGTTTCAAATGCTTCTTGGCACCCCTGCTTCCAGACCACTGAATCAGGGCTGTCCTTCTTGGTCAGCTCATGTAGGGGAGCTGCCATCGCTCCAAATCCAGGGACAAACCTCCTCTAATATCCAGTCAGGCCAAGGAAGGCTGACTTGTTTCTTGGTTTGTGGAGGCGGCCAGTCTTTAATGGCCTCGATTTTGTCCCACAAGGGAGCAATATGACCTCCACACACACGATATCACAAATATACCACTTCAGATAATGCCCAATGGCACTTTTTGGCTTTTGCAGTAAGACCAGCTTGCTTGATCTTGCCTAACACGGTGGTCAGATGAATCAGGTGCGATTCAAAGTCCTGACTGAAGATGGTGATGTCATCGATGTAAGCCATGGCAAACTGCTCACATCCTTGTAACAGGTATTAATCACTATTTGAAAAGATGCAGGAGAGTTGCACATACCGAAAGGTAAAACTGTAAACTCGTATAGTCCCACAGGTGTGGTAAAGGCAGACTTGGCTATGGCATCCGGATCCAGTGCCATTTGCGAGAATCCTTTGGACAGATCCAAAGTAGAGATAACCTTGGCTGGGCCCAGGCGATCAAGTAAAGTGTCCACCCTGGGCATAGGGTAAGCATCAGGGGTGGTAATAGCATTCAGCTTCCAGTAGTCCACACAGAACTGGATGGACCCATCCTGCTTCCGGAAGAGTACCATGGGGCTGGCCCAGGGACTCAATGAAGGCCGGATTACTCCTAACCCTTTTATCTCTGTGATCTCTCGCGCTATTCCTTGCTTCACCTTCTCGTTAACGGGGTAAGGTCTGGATTGGATAGGGCGATGGCTGCCCGTATAGAGTGTACTGCCAAGTCCGTTTTACCTGGTTTGTTGGAGAACACTGAACCAAAGTCTTTGAGTGCCACGAGCAGCTTGTCCTTGTCCTGGGAGGGCAGATGGTCCTGCAGGTGGAGTTCCTCTATTCCTGCCTCTCCATCCCAGTCACCATACATGACCGACTCCTCTGGATCCTCAGGTGATCCTTCTACTGAGGAAATCCAGAACACCGCATCACTTCTATTAAAATATGGGTTAAGCATGCTCACATGAACTGTCTTAGGCTTTTTCCCCACTCCTGGCCACTACATAGGTCACATCGTCCAGCTTGTCCAGGATGAGATGAGGACCTTCCCAAGCTGCTTGCAGCTTGTCTGTCTTTAGTGGCAGGAAAACCATGACCTTATCACCTCATTCAAAGGTACGCAAGCGAGCCTTTTCTTCATACCAGGCACTTTGCTTCTCCTGGGCCTGGGCCAGGGAATCTCATGCCACCTTCATCACGTCAGTTACCTTCTGACGAAAGCTGAGCACATACTCTACCACGGAGGTCTTAGTGGAAGTGATTTTGCCTTCCCACTCTTCTCTCACCAAATCAAGAGGACCCCTAAGGGTCATCCCTCAGGGGTGATCTGATGGCCACCTATAAGTTTATCAGGGGTGACCACTAGTATCTGGGGGAACGCTTGTTCACCAGAGTGCCCCAAGGGATGATGACTAGGTCGAATGGTCATAAACTACTACAAGACCGTTTCAGGCTGGACATAAGGAAGAATTTCTTTACTGTCCGAGCCCCCAAGGTCTGGAACAGCCTGCCACCGGAGGTGGTTCAAGCGCCTACATTGAACACCTTCAAGAGCAAACTGGATGCTTATCTTGCTGGGATCCTATGACCCCAGCTGACTTCCTGCCCTTTGGGCAGGGGGCTGGACTCGATGATCTTCCGAGGTTCCTTCCAGCCCTAATGTCTATGAAATCTAACTCGCCTTCCGAACATCAACTCAAAGGACAAGAACCCAGTGGACTCCTGGGGCACTTCCCAGTAGGCAACGAGCAAATGCAGATGTTTCTCATCCCAGTCACTGGGGTTAGAGTCCACATAGGCCTTTAGCATACCTTTCAAGGTCCCACTGAACCTTTCTATGAGCCCATTTGTCTGGGGGTGGTAGGCTGTGGTCTTGAGGTGTTTCACCCCACAGCACTCCCACAGGTACTTCATCACCTCCGCCAGGAAGTTCCCACCCCTGTCAGTCAGGATCTTGGAGGGAAAACCCAGCTGAAAGATGATCTTGGTTAGGGCATCAGCAACTACAGGTGCCTCGGTGGAGGTCAAGGCAATTGCCTCTGGGTACCGAGTTGCGAAATCCACTAGAGACAGGATGTATTTCTTCCCTCTACGAGTCTTATGCCTCAGAGGGCCCACAATGTCTATACCCACTCTTTGGAAGGGTTGAGCAACAATAGGGAGGAGCTGTAGGGGAGCCTCTCTCTTGTCCTCACTTTTGCCCATCTGCTAGCACGTCTCGCAAGATCTACAGTAGTCTGCCACATTCTGGGCCAATAAAAGTTCACCTGCAGCCACTGGCGTGTCCATTCCCTGCCCGTGTTACCAGCACAGCACACGGTAAATCGTGAGCCATGGAATACAATTGTCTGAACTTATGTGGTACTATGAGGTGGTGACGGGGTTCCCAGGTCTCGGCATGGTTCTTTGGTACCCACAACTGATAGAGAAGTCCCTTATCCCAGATCACCTATTCCCTCTCATCTAGGGTGAACTCTGTCTCCTGCTCCTGAGCCACCTGCTGGAGTTCCTCCAAGCTGGGGTCCTCTAGAACCTCCTGCTTGAACTCCTCTTACCCAGCTAAGCAATCAGCAGAATTGTGGTGCTCCTGTAAGGAATGCACCTGCACCCTCAGGGATGTCCTTTATTTTCTCCCCAAGAGTCTGTTTCCCCTGCCACTGACTGACCAGACTCCTCCCTGGGACTGTCACTTAACCTGACCTCAAGGTCACTGGTTTCCTCAATGGCCAGGGGCTGGTTGCAGTCAGAGGGAGTCTGAGTCTCTCCTTCCTCCCGCTCTGCCTCAGTAGCCAATTGGGTGACCAGGCCCTGGGAAGTTTCCACTCCTCCCACCTTAGCCTTTCTGTTCTGTTGATGAGTCACCGCATTAACACGGTAGCGCTCTAGGTCCAGGAGGTGGCCCTCCTCCCTTTGCAGGTATTCTAGCTCCATAATATCACGTCCCACCAGGATGGGGACAGGAGCCCCTTCCAGCACACCCAGTTCTATGCACATCCTGCAGCCTCTCCACTCGATGGGGGGGATGGGTTACTGGTACCTCAAATGGTGGGGACCCCACCCCTTGAATGGTAAGGGTCCTCCCCAGGACTATATCTGCAGGTGAAACAAGGCTGGCATTGGTAACACACTGGACCCCATGTCCAGTTCCCCAACAAGTTTACCGTTACCTTAGTACAGTGGAAGGCCATCACCTCCTCTGGGTTTGTAATCCTGTAGCAACAGGCACGCCCCTCAGAGTGGCTCCAGTCTCCCTCCTCACTGCTTACAGCTGTTGCATGTCTGATGGGCTTGGGTTTGTTGCTTAGCTTTGGGCAGTTGGACTTGATGTGGCCCGGCTCCCAGCAGTTATAGCACCCCCTCTTTTCCAAATTGGGTGGTTTGTCCGAATCTGGGGCTGCCTTGTGCTCAGCTGAAGGTGGCCCTCTTTCCCCTTTTGGAACCCTTTCTGTTCCTTCCCAGAGTAAGGAGGCTTCTTGTCTGGCCCCTCACAATTTAGCAACAGCCAATCCACAATTTCAGCAGCCTCTTGGATGGTTTTGGGGGCCCTGTCTTTGACTAGGGTTTTAATCCCCCTTGGACAGCAGTGATAAAATTGGTCCAGCGCCATGAGGTTTAGCGCCTTCTCTCTAGTCATCCTTGGTTCCGTCTGCCCATTTAAGGAGTGTTCCCCACACCTGGGCTGCAAAATTGGCCATCATCTTCCCAGGTTGTAGGAGGGTATTGCGGAATTTTTTCCCAGAAATAATCTGGTCCCAACCTGAACCTTGAAGACACAGCATTTTTAAAGGCATCATAGTTATCTGCTGAATCCAAGGGCAGGCTGTTCAGGACCACAGACATGTCACCCTCAACCAGAGCAGCCAGGTGTTTCATGAACTCTTCCTTTGGCAACTTCCACTGGCGCACTTGTTTTTTGAAGATGCTTAGGAACATTTCTGGATCACCCGTCTTTGTAGCGAGAGAAGATTGGAGCGTTCAGTCTGGGGGATGCATCCAGTGTGGGCTGGGCACCCACTATGTTAGCATTTGCCTGCATTTGGAGTACTGCAAGCTCATGCTCCCGCTTGAGCTTTACCTCTTTGGCCTCCGCCTCGCGCTTGAGCCTTGCCTCTTCAGCCTCACGCTGCATCCTTTTCAACTCTAGCTTATGCTCGCGCTGTTCCTTCTCATGCTGTCGCTGGGCCTCCAGCTCCATCCTTTTCAACTCTAACTCATGCTTGAGCTTGCACTCTCACTCCTCAGCTTCTAGCTGTAGCTGGGGTTTCCAGACCTCCCACTCAGAGGGTGACCCGTCGGAGCCCTCAGCGGTTGCTGATTGGAAGCGTGGAGGAGATGTTGAGACCCGATCATTATGACACAGGATCTTAAATCAGGTCTTCTTTCTTTTGCTCCTTCCTCACTGGAAGGCCTCTCTTTCACCAGCTCTCTCAAGTCAGCCACCATCATATGGTCATACTTGTCGGCCATCCTATGCTGTCCAGTTGACCTGATGCCAAATTAGAAATTGTTTGCTCAAGGGTTTTCAGTGACTCTATTCCCTTCCCCAGATTATGCCTTCAATACAGCAGGTTAATCGGATCCCACTGCTAACACCATGTGTGGCGGGCCAGTAGGGGGCGCTCCTGTGTTGAGCCACCCACCTCACTGTGCCCGACCACCTTCCAGGCTTCAAGTGCCTCCCCAGGAGCGCCCCCTACTGGCCTGCCATAGGATATATGCAGTAGCTGTGTTGGTCTGAGACTAAATGAAATGCAAAAATCTAGAACTCTTAGTTCAGAGATGATACCTTTCATTAGACCACCTGAGAAATTGCCCAAAGGGAAAAAAAAAAAATATCTTTTTCTGCAAGCTTTCGGGCTCATGCACCCTTCATCAGGTTCAAGGAAAATTAAAGATGGTAAAAAGTCCCCATATGTAGGAAATATACTTCATTTTTGCACAGAGGAAGCAGAGGCTGGAAAACTGTCCCTCTGGGTCCTCTTCGCTGTGTAGATAGTGAGGTACCACAATTCATACATGATTCAAATACCAAATATCATCACTCTGTATAAAAATAAAGGAGATAAGGGCAACTCCAACAACTACAGAGGTATCTCACTATTAAGTACAGCAGGAAAAGCATACGCAAGGGTCATCTTGGTGCACCTACAAACAGCTAGAGTCCCGCGTCTATCCTGAATTTCAGTGCAGGTTCAGGGCTGGGAGATCAACAATAGACATGATATTTTCCCTGCATTGACTTCAAGAAAAGTGCAAAGAGCAAAACCAGCTGTTGTACATTGCCTTCGTGGATCTAATGAAAACATTTGACACTGTTAGCAGAGCAGGCCTATTTGAAGTCCTAGAAAAGATAGGATGCCCACCAATCCTGTTAAGTCTTATATGTTCCTTCCATGACAACATGAAAGCAACTGTTCAGTTTGACAGGTCCACTTCAGACAGCTTCAAGGTGAAAAGCAGAGAGTGAAGCAAGGATGTGTTCTTGCCCATACACTCTTTGTAATCTCCTCTGTACTCCTGAACTGTGCATTTAAAAGACATGGAAGGCAGAGTGGACCTCCACACAAGATCAAATGGG